GTGTGGTAGAGCACGCCTGTAATCCAGCACTTGGGAGGCTGTAAACAGGAGAATCACTATGAGTCTGATCTAGTAGTGAGACCCTGAACACCCTGTAGACCATTCCCTAAAATACAGAAAAATAAATAAGTAAATAAATGTGAATCATGTTTTATTCTTAGTTTAGTTTAGTTTTCATTGCTGGGAGTTGAACACAGAACCTCAGATGTACTAGATGAGCACTCTGCCTCAGAACTACAGCCTCAACCCTTACGTTTAGTTTGTGTTTGGTTTTAGTTGTATTTATTTATTTATTTATTTATTGCTCCGAATGTCTTCAGGGCAGGTTTGGCTGACTTGAGTTGTGGGGATCGAACCACAGCAACCTGAGCCTGACTGCTTTGTTGAAGCAGCCACTTAAAGAACTGAGCTAAGGGGCAAGCCCCCATGTTTATTTAATTTTTGTGGAACCAAGGATTGAACTCAGGTCCTTGTGCTTGCCAGGCAAGTGCTTATTCCACTGAGCCAACTCCCCTGCCCCTGTTTTTATTTTTCTTTCAAGATATGTCATTTTGAGCCAAGCATATTTTGCCTTTATTTTTATTCTTTTATTGTGTGTGTGTGTGTGTGTGTGTGTGTGTGTGTGTGTGACATTGTTTCACTATGCAGTTCAGGCTGGCCTTAAGCTAACTTTGTAGTCCAAGCTGGTATTGAACTCAAAATGATCCTCCTGCCTCAGCCTCCTGAGTGCTGGAGTTATGAGCTTGCACCACTACACCTGGCTTTATTCTGTCATTCATTCATTCGCCCATTTACTCGTGTGTGTACTTTCACAGTGCTGAGCATTGAACCCAGGGCCTCATACCAGCCCAAAGCTTGCATGTTTGGGTTTAATTTTCTGAGTGAGGGTCTGACTGTGTAGTCCAGAGTGGCCTTGCACCCACCATGTGGCCCCAGCTAGCCTTGCGGTCCTCCTACCTCATCCTCCAAGTGCTAAGCTTATAGGCATCAGCCACAAGGCTATGCAGACTTTGGTTTCTTAAAGTCTCTTTCTCTTTTTAATCTCTTCAATTGGATCAGTGATTATGATTTAAGGGAATTAATTTTTTAAATTGATACAGTAATTATATTCTGGGAGTATAGAGTGATACTTCTATACATGAGACCACATATAGTAAGTGATCAAATCAGGGTAATTAATCTGTGACTTCAAGTTTTTGTGTTTCCTAAAACTTTTGTTCATTTGTTTGTTTGAGACAAAGTCTTGCTATGTAGTGCAGTATTGTATTAAACTCACAGCAACTCTCCTGCTTGACCTTTTAAAAGTAAACTTTTTTTTTTGTTGTTGTTGTTGTTGTTGGAACCAGAGATTGAACTGGGACCCTTGCGCTTGCCAGGCAAAGACTTATTCTACTGAGCCATCTGCCTGGCCCCTGCTTGACCTTTTAAAATCAAAAATGCTTTTGACATTGTTTTTGGGTGCTATATCCTTACAAACATAACTATAGTCAGGCATGACAGGTGATGCACACCTACAGTCCCACTATTTGGGCTGAGAAGGGAGGATTGCAAATTCAAGACCAGCCTGGACTACATAATGAGAACCTATCTCAAGAATCAAGGGGTGGGGGGCTGGGGAGATGGCTCAGTGGAATAAGCGCTTCCCTGGCAAGCGCAAGGGCCTGAGTTCAATCCCCGGTTCCGCAAAACGGAAAAAAAAAAAAAGAAAGAAAGAAAGAAAGAAAAGAAAAAAAAGAAAGAGGGGCCGGGGAGATGGCTCAGTGGAATAAGTGCTTCGTTGGCAAACACAAGGGCCTGAGTTCAATCCCTGGTTCTGCAAAAAAAAAAAAAAAAAAGAATCAAAGAGCCAAACATGGTAGTGCACACCTGTAATGCAAGTACTCAGGAGGATGAGGTAGGAGGATCATCATGAATTTGAGGCCAGCCTGACTACATAGTGAGACCCTGTCTCAAAACATACACACACTTATAGATACATCCCTTGAGTATATCGAGAAATGCCTGCATAGGGTGGACATACTACTTGAGTGATTTTGTAGGCTGCAATAGATCTGTGACTCCAGCCCTCTTTTTGTGGCTCTCCTTTCGCCTGTTCCAGAGCTTTTCACATCATACAGATATTGAGTGGATCTGACTCAGAGAGATAACACTCTCACTAAAGTGATGCTGAGTCTGGAAGCCTGTACAATTCTTTCTTATCATGAAAATAGTAATTTTGCCAGGTGTGGTAGTGTATGCCTGTAATCCCAGCACTTGGAAGGCTGAGATAGGGGGATCATTGTGAATTTAAGGCCAGCCCAGGCTACATAGTAAGTTCAAAGACAGCCTAAATTACAGAGCAATACCCTATCTCAAAAACAACAAGAAAAAAAAAAAAAAAGAAAGAAAAAGAAAAAAGCCAGATGTGGCAGCACATGCCTGTAATCCCAGCTGAGGCATTGAGAGTTCAAGACCAGCCTTGGCTACAAAGTGAGCCCAAGGCCAGCCTGAACTGCATAGTGAGACCCTATCTCAAAAAGAAAAAAAAAGGAAAGGAAATAGTAATTTTATATGTTTTCTTTCCACGTAAATAATCTAAATTGCCCTTTTTGCTTTGTCTAGATTGTCCTACAAGGACATGCGACAAGAGTAACTGCTAAATCTCAACAGAGTGGAGAAAAGGCATTTCGATGTGAATATGATGGATGTGGAAAATTATATACAACAGCTCACCATCTAAAGGTACCCAGAAGACAAATGTCATATGTAGCTATGAGAATACTTACGTCTTAGTTACTTTTCTCCTGTTGCTAAGATGAAATGCCCAATACCCAAATTGAAAGGGGAAAAGATTTTTTTTTTTTTGTGGAACCGGGGATTGAACTCAGATCCTTGTGCTTGCCAGGGAAGAAAAGGGGAAAAGAGTTATTGAGCTCACAGTGTGTAGAAGTTTCCAGCTCTAGTTGGCTGGCTTGAGGGCAGCTTGGTTGGCATGCAGGTACCGCAGAGGAGAAACGGTTCATGGTAGGTGGGAGGTAGCAGAGCAAGCAAAACTCAAGCACAGCGCTTTGTAGCTCCTATGTCCTATCCAGGCTACTCAGGGTAAATAACACTCACACCCTTAGTCCCAGTGTCCTTGAGACTAGCATGTACCATGAATTGATTCCAGCGTCATACACTGTAGATCCAGCCACCTCTGAAAAGCCCCGCCTGTGATGATATGAGGCTTTGGGAAACATCTAGGCACAAGTCATAATACCTTCGGACAGGCATATGGTAGCAGTCGTGCACTTCTGTTTTTCCAACTTAACTAAAATAGTAATTTGTGCTCATGTTCAGACAAAGCACCCTGGAAAGGCATTAGAAATTACAAATACAAGCCAGGCATACTGGCACACGCCTGTAATCCCACCACTCAAAAGGCTGAGGCAGGAGGATCCATGTGAGTTTGAGACCAGCCTCGGCTACAAAGTAAGCTCAAGGCCAGCTGGAACTGCGTAACAAGACCCTTTCTCAAAAAGACTAAAAAAGGCCAGGGAGATAGCTCAGGGCAAGAGCCTGAGTTCAATCCCCAGTTCTGCCAAAAA